CCATGTGATTGGTTGATTAGATAATTGCATTAATGAGAAATTGAACAGGTGTTCCTCATAATCCTTTAGGTGAGTGTACATAGTATATACAATCACCGACTGTGATTGTTTACATGTTGTGTTCAATAAAAACATGACAACATATAATGTTTGTGTAGTATTATTTTAAGCAGACTGTTTTTCTATTGTTGTGACTTAGATGAAGATCAGAGCACATTTTATGACCAATTCATGCAAAACTTCACGTAATCCCAAAGGGTTCACATACTTTTTCTTGCAACTGTATATAAAGAATGACGATCTTTAATTCTTTGATATTTGCACATTATTTTGCATCTTCTCAAAAGCACAGTATCAGTGTTAAAAATAAATAACTTACATGACTGGGGGAACTATCTGGGAAAAAAAACCATGCCATTGTGTTCTAGACCAGTGTTTCTCAAAGCAGTCCTCAGAGATCCCCAGTCCACGTTTTTGCTCCATCCCAAATCTCAGGGAATTGGGCAAAATCAAAAACGTGGACTGTCTGGGGGTCCCCAAGGACTTCTTTGAAAAACATTGTTCTAGACTGAAAAGTTCTTGGCTGTTTGACACAACATTTACGCTCTTAGGCAACAGATGTGTTTTGTACTCTTTTATTGCAAAAAGACTGAGCACGTAAAATGTGCTTGTATTGTTGATAAAACTGCTGGATGCAAAAATTAAGCCATAACTTGTCAAGAAAAAAGACCATACGAAGGTACACAGAATCACCATGGCAGAAACTTGCGAATGCTGCTGAGAAAGATAAACATAAAATAGTTTGTTATACCTATGTCCTAGATGAACTCCATTCCAGCTCATCATGTGATAGGACAATTAATCATTTTCCTGTCCTTATTCTATTCAATTTATTTTTATATAGCACCTTTCCCAACAGAGTCATATCAAGGTGCTTTACGTGGATATGTTGTGATACATTAAACATCATTAGAGAGAGTAATACAGAATGGGAAAATGAAGGAAAGAAATTAAATAAAGAAAGCAGGATGACAGTGGAGGAGAGGAACCAAACCCCACCCGGGCACCATCCGGACATGTGGGAAGGCAGAGAGCATGGATGGTCAGAACATGTGTTGACACATAAATGGACAAGCATAGTAGATTAAAATTATATGTACAGCAGCACCAGCAGCCATAGTTACAGTATGGTGTGTTAGGTTGCAGGTAAGCTAAACTGAAGTAATAGGTCTTCAGTCGAGATTTATAGACTGAGATCGAATCAGCATCCCGAACATAGGCTGGTAAACCATTCCACAATATAGGGGTCTTGTAGCAGAATGCTTTACTGCCCACTGTCACTTTATTTATATGTGCAACGACAAGGAAACCTGTATTCTGTGACCAGAGTGGATGATGCGGCTTATAAACATGAAGTAATCCTGTCAGGTAGGCAGGAGCTAGACCTTTAAGTGCCTTATATGTAAATAGGAGAACTTTGAAGTCAGCTCTTAACCTAAGAGGAAGCCAATGTAGGAAACTAAGAACAGGGGTTATGTATTCAAACTTCCTGCTCCTGGTAACAATTCGAACTGCTGAATTTTGAATACGCTGCAAAGTATTTAGTGTGCAGTGTGTGCTTCCAGATAATAAAGCATTACAGTAGTCTAACCTACTGTATACAAAGGCATGTATCAATTTCTCTGTCTTGAATAGTAAGAAATCGTTGCAGTTTGGCAATGTGGCGTAGCTGTAGGAAGCCTTCAATACTGCACTTACATGTGATTTGAATGAGAAGCTTATATCTAAGATAACACCTAGGTTATGGGCTGAACTTATATGTCCTTATAACATCCTCAAGCTCACTTATTGGTGTGAGGTTGACTGTTGACTGTTAAGGCACTATCAAAGAACAGCTGATGTTGCATATTATCTTCTTATTCAATCCATACAGTTTCAGTCAGTACTGAGGAATATTTGCACAGATTGCTGGCCATTTTCACAGTGCCTGCATTGTTATTTAACTAAAAAGAGCTTGGAGTAATTTGGAAATGTATTGTTTGTTATTTTCTGATAAAGATTAATGACTTGTTTGGTGTGGACATAAAGGGAATTTTAGGATCTAAAGAGATAAGAATAATAAAAGGTACTTTAATGGGAAACAAATCGACAACCTCATATAGCCTTCACATCTGTGCACTCAGGACAGTTTTGAATATTTACTGTTCAGGTACAAAGATAAGACTGATGACTTCAACCAAAATAATTTGATAAGCTTTTCCACAAAGGGAGATGATTGATTCTAGTTCTTTCATTTAAACTATGGTGGGATCAAATGTTGCCTGTGAAATCTCAGCTGTAACCTTTCCCCTACTGGCCTTTGATACTCCTTTGAAATTTCATGTCAAAGGAACAGCAACAGCTTATTTAGCTAATGGGACTTATCACAGGGGTTGGCGAAGAGTTAGAGTAGGTATTTGCAACTTCTAGTGCTTTGGAAAGGTCAGAAAGGGTGGGATTACTAGGTATTTCTAGCCAATGCCCTTTAAGCAGATATAGTCCATGTTTGACATATGGAGTTCTCTTTCTTATTTGTCAAGAGTGCAGAGAACAGTAAGACCATGTCTTTATTTGGCTGTTTTTCTCTCTTTTTTGTTTTGGTTTGAGGATTTTGCAGCTGCTTGTTTTAGGATTTTTATAACCTGTTATCTGCATCAATTTAATACAGTCTAAAAGTTTCTTTGCTGCTCTTAGTGCAATAGAACATATGGGAACACAGTGTGGGGGATGGCTTTTCATATGCAATATGAAATTTGTATTTGTGTGCTCTCTCAATTCAAAAGTCATGATTTCTTTTAATTTGAGATTAAATTTGGTAATCTGAAGCATCATATGAATAGTGAATAGTTGATCTTGTAGCCGCTCTGAAGTCAAAATCTGTAATTAAGCTCTGTGAGGTTTTGTGAGCCAAGTAATATTCACAATTTTCCATGAATAAACTATTTTAATTTGTTTACTGATAATAGTTAAAGCTTTTGGCTACTCATGTTAATATGGGCAGGATGTTGAACGGATGTCAATCTGAAATTTAAATATTAACTTAGTAGTTGTGTGGCATTTTTAACAAAAAAAAATTTTATTGAGCAGAAAGATGGTGTTGGCATATTGTGTTTGCCATGCCTACAGACTCTCTTAATGTCTGTACACATATATTGAAAATAGGAATACGAAGTAAAACATCAAACTATAACAATGCACACACTTTAGAAAATCAAAACCAGAATTGTACATTGTAAGAATCACTGATGTTATGCTATTTTGATATTTGCATTTCATTTTTTGCTTTTAGCTGTTTGTTAAAAGGTGTGAGTCTTATGTATTGCAGAATTGATTTGTCAATATATCAATATACTTCTCAGTTACCATCAGACCATCATAATTTGAATACCAGTTGTTTCTAATCTAATTCATGAAGCAATATTCTTATATTGGGTGATTTTTTAAATGTTACATTCTAGAATATGGATCAAAGTGGGGGTTGCCAGTTTTTAACTTTGAACATTTTGGCTATCTAGTCTTCTCTCTTAGCATTCACAGCTCGTGTTTTTTATTTGCTCATGAATATTATTGTTCTACTTCTCTTTGGTTGAGACATTTTTTTATATCATGGTACATACATAAGCCACTGTTTGATTTCAAATTACTTATAATAATGTCTTGCTTGGAAAATCCTGGATTTTCAGCTTAAAAATCTGTTATTTATTTTATATAATTAATATAATTAAGTGTTTTTAACGATTAATTTCATGTATAATTGTGACAAAGAAGAGGGCCTGTTTTAGTGTTTTACAGAACTTTCCCATAGCTCATCCTAAACAAAAAGGAAAGTATTTACTTCTAAAATAGCCAGCTTTATTGTTTTTCTTTTTATATATTTGCACCTTTAGTATTTATAATCTCATCATTGGACAAATTATTTTTTGAATTAGTTTCTGACACATTTATTGTTCAGCAGTTTACACACTGGACTTATTTGTCTTTCATCCACAAACTCTTATCATCCAGATGCCCCAGTTCAAGAAGTCTACTGTTCATATGAAGGACCCACAGCATGTGGAGGAAATTATCTGCAACCTGATTCGGGGTGGAGCCTCCAAACTCCAGGTATATGATCCATAGCTTGTATTAGCATGATATCCTGCTTCTCTGTCCATTAACCTTAGATTGTTTTGCTTTCCAGATTATCACTGACTTTGACAGGACATTAAGCAGGTTTTCAAACAATGGCAAACAATGCCCTACTTGTCACAGTAAGTTAACCAAGTGATTATTCTTGAACAGAACATGTCAATAACACACATATCAGTGACTGATTGGATTAGGATTGAAAACCAAACATCTTCCTGATTTACAGACATCATCGACAACTGCAAACTGGTTACAGCGGACTGCAAAAAGAAGGTATGTGTATTATTTTAAAAGGGTTATTGTGTCATGTATACTCCTGTAATCCTACAAGATGTAGATAATGTAAAATTCAACCTCATATCAAAGTGGCACCTCTGCCATACTCTTTAATGTGTGTATCTTCTGTAGCTTCACAAGCTTAAGGACACATATTATCCAATTGAGATCAACCCGCATCTTTCAGTGCAAGAGAAATATCCATTTATAGTGGAGTGGTGAGTATTTAAGATAGCTACTGTACACACGCACATGTTTTTACAAAGTGACAAAATAATACTACAATGTACACATTTGTCCTTTTGATTTAGTATGTCAAATGTTAAAATTTGGTTAAAATAAATAGATTATTTAAAAAGTGTTATGTGAGACACCCATTGTAACAGTAATATTTCAATGATGAGATGCTAAGTTCACCATCCTTTCTAGCTTTTTCTGTTTATCTGAGCAGTGTTTCTCTACATTATGCTTTCTTTGGCGCAATAGACATTCTACAGGCAGACAAACCTGCTGATGCCATTTGAGAAAAATTTGAACAAATGATAACTTAAGAAAGATGAACTGAAACACTTTATAGATTTAAATTTTCATCTCAATTTCAGGTATTTTAAATCACACACATTACTGGTGGAACAGCGATTGCAAAAGGACAAGCTGCCGGAAGTAGTAAGAGAATCGGATGCATGCTTAAGGTAAGATAAAAATGATGTAAGGTTTAATTTTTAAATTATTGGTAATAAATTGCAAGATAAGAATATTAAATATTATAAAGGTTTCTTATTTAATTTACCCAATATTTATATTAAACAACCCAAAACCAATTAAAATGATATATTCACAGGGATGGGTACAAGCAGTTCTTTGACCAACTGCAACAGCGAAATGTGCCTGTGTTCATTTTCTCTGCTGGACTCGGAGATGTACTTGAGGAGATAATACGTCAAGCAGGAGTCTATCACCCCAATGTCAAAGTGGTCTCCAACTTTATGGACTTTGATGAGAATGTGAGCTTATTAACCTTAGGTGCTTGGTTCCCTATTGGAGAAATCAGTTTTATATGTCTGACTCTCTCAGTAATTTTTTTTTTCCATTGTTGAGAATAGTTAAGTAATACTTATTATTTTTTAGGGCATTCTGAGAGGATTCAAAGGTGAACTGATTCATGTATACAACAAACATGATGGTGCACTTAAGAATACAGAGTACTTTGATCTGCTGAAGGACAACTGCAACATTATTCTTTTGGGGGATTCACTGGGTGATCTCCACATGGCAGATGGTGTAGCCAATGTAGAAAACATTCTCAAAATTGGCTTCTTGAATGATAAGGTATTTTGTGTCATTATTAGTTTTTATTTTTCAACTAAAAATGATTTTAAAAGATGATATTTTATTCAAAACAAACTATACCTTCACAGGTGGAGGAACTGCTGCAGAAGTATCTGGAATCATATGATATTGTATTGGTGCAGGATGAAACTTTAGAGGTGCCAAACTCCATCCTCCAGAAGATAATCTGACTCAGATCCCATATGTTAATTTTTTTGCCCAGAGTTTCTTTTGGATTTCGTTCTTACATAAATATCACTTGTAACTTAAAAACATGGCGGCGATTGTTCAATTGTGCCTTGAAATAATTTTGGGATAATTTGTGTGGATTTTTTTCTTATTTTTAGTGACTAGAAGATTTAACAAACTTAAATTCTCATTAATTAGGATTCTCTTTTTGTCAATTTGAATAGTGTCACAAAAGGACTACAATAAAATTAGGCATAAATAACTCATAAAATTTCAGTCTTTCCTAATTTATACAACTGTACCTGTTAGAATGCAATAAAGTAATATATACTATTAACAGTGCATCTTTCATTGAATTGGAATATATACAGTTGTCAAGTTTCAATTTGCTTAATCTATTGTAAATCATATTTAATTTTTAAATAAAAAGAATTCGTCTTTAAATGTTGTCTCCCATCATTCTGAAATGATTTTTCTCAAAAATGGTGTACTTTCTTCCTGTCCTTCTGTTTTGAACTTACGTAGTAGTTCTCAAATTATGGTATGTGTACATGCAAGGAAGAGGACTCCCTTACTATTATTTATATTGTAATCTGTATAGCACGTTAGCAGCATACTTTTCACTTTATTAAAGGCACTGTATATTAATTAACTCTATGGGGTGCAGCAGGGGCCCCTTTGCAGGGGGCCCATTGGAGGGGCATTCCTTCCCTCTTTGGAATAATTACCGTATAACTTCAGATGTAAAAGTCACAGACACATGCCTGATACCTAAAATCAAAGCTGACCCCTTTACAATCAATTGTTGGAAGCTCAATAACCAAAATGAATAACTGTGTATAATTTATGGACATGCGAATATAACAAAAACAGCTGGAAAAATACAAAAACCTGTCTTTGTCTTGGATTTTTGCAAATATTTTAAAGAAGTAGATGATGGATTAGGTCCAATTTTCAATATGTGGTTCCCTAACTTGTTTTCTACATGTGTGCCCAATTTCATGTCATTTGATCTAGCCGAACAGGTTTTACAGAGGAAAGAACAAATGGTGCAACTGGGAGCCTTTCATATCCAAAATCTGAAACCAATCCAAAATGACCACAGTGTAACAAGCAGTGTTTTTTGGGATAGCATCTTTCTTTCTAAATGCATTACCACTTATGGGTCATAAGAAACATTTTGTCACACATCACCACCACACATCTGGAGGAAAATCTATATTTTATTCACACGACTTGTGCCAAATATATCCAAAACCTATCCAAGACCTATCCAAAACCTATCCAAGACCTATCCAAACTGGCCACAGTGTAACTAGCAGTGTTTTTTGGGATAGCGTCTTTCTTTCTAAATGCACTACCACTTACGGGTCATAAGAAACATTTTGTTTCTAACCCTAACCCCGCATAACTTTGCCCAAACAAAGCGCGACAAGTTCCCGGCATAACTTAGCCCAAACAAAGCCCGACAAATGCCCCGCATAACTTTGCCCAAAAAAACCCGACAAGTACCGTACATAACTTTGCCTAAACAAAGCCGACAAGTGCCCCGCATAACTTTGCCCAAGTAAAAGCCAAAAGCGCTGCACATTACTTTGCACACGCAAAGCTTGACAAAGGCGATGCGGAACTTTTCCCTATGTACCACAATACAATTGTTACCAAAGCAGATATTAATTATAATTTGCTGAATCACGGAATTATAAAAATCTATAGAATAAAAGAGTAAACTGTAAATAAATGTACTTACATGTCGAGGGTTGCATACTCTGCGAGTCATATTTATGGAAAACTGGGTGTTTTGTCTTAATACTGTAATGGTTTATGAATTGTTGGTCGTGAAGGAAATAGTTTTAAATGCTTAGTTTTCATTTTATTAACACTTATATTTCACTTCCGGAAACTCGACCCGTTTAAAGATGGTTGCCATGGTCATTTTGTTTTAACTTGTTACAAAATAACCATGGCACAAAAATTGTGCAACTTTGTACATATATTATAATAAAGGTTTCTAGTACTGTAACAAGCTGTTTTTGGTTGATTTGATACATTTGTTTCTTTTATTGAACGTCATTTTTCTTTGTTATTGAAAACTCGGACGTATGCGTCCGAACCACTAGAGGGCGAATTGTTAAGCACTTTATTTAGCATTGCACTTTAACCACGGATTTGCATAGAAGAACATGTGCATACAAAAGTTTAATTGTGTGTTGAATATTTATTGGGAATTTTAAAATCAGTTGGTAGCCTTGTTTCAGAACCTGCACGGCGGCTCCTCATCAAGGAAGGTGGTGGTGGCTGTGAAACTGAAAAGGAATGGTGATTGAGAGAGAATAAGGTTTACCAGTAAGGAGAACTAAGGCAGATGTGCGTGTGCGTGTGTGTGTGTGTGTGTGTAAAATCTAGAATTAAAGGGGATGCAAAGAAGTGATTGTAAGATGTGATGACTCACCTTTCTTTCCTGTATTATCTCCAGGGTGTTTGGGCAAATGTTTCCCTGGGGGTCCAGACACCAGTTAAAGGTTCCGGGAGAGACCACGGGTTAAGGGAGTGTGGGGAATCTTTTGTGTTTGGGGTTTTTTGGGGTTTTATAATATGCGGTTTGATGTAAAATTAAAGTGGAAAATATTTATTAATATCAAAATGTGAAAATGTATTTGTATATTTATTTATTCAGGTTAATGTGTTGTGTATTATTGTGGAAGGTTGGGATTTAAGAAGTTACCTGTGAGTGGAATGATGGTTTAGCCTGAGACAGCTGAAAGTATTTAAGGCTGCCAGTTGTCATTAGAGGAGAGTTGTTGTGCTGTGAAAAAGCTCGACGGGTGAATTGTTTGTAAGAAGAGCTGCATGACAATAAATACGCGTTGTTCAAGTGCATTTGTTTTAGTCTTCCTCACTGTCAAATCCAGCCACTAAGGGCTGCCTCGTTACAGTACACATGGTCCCCCCTTGTTGTATGCAAAGGTATTAATGTATCAGTGGTATGTGGCAAGGGTCTACAGCTTATTTCATGACCACTGGTACGTGGGGTTTGAGAACCACTGGTCTAGATGAATTCAGTACGTCTTCAGTAAAAAAAAAAAGAGAGAATTCTACCAATCCTTTTGGCATCCAGTTTCATTTTGGGATTTTTGCAAACATCCTTACATGTCTCCATGCAAACAGTTTATACCACAAAACTGTGAGTTAAATATACAGTCTTATCAATATTTTGAATAAAGAGGGATCATTAGCAATCATGGAGGCATATGAAACATTCTGTGCTGAGCAATTGTGAATTACCTCTATTCGAAAACAAATTGTGCAATCAACTGTCTATGTAAAATATAAAATATTTAAATGTAATTTTCAGCATAAATTTAAATTCTTATGGTCATTGTATTTTTTTTCTATTTGTTACCTTGATTTTAGCCATGTTCTGCTAAAAATACACTGCTCAAAAAAATTAAAGGAACACTTTTTTTCAGAGTTTACTATCAAGTCAGTTAAACTTCTGGGATATTGATCTGCTCAGTTAAGTAGCAGAGGAGGTTGTTAATCAGTTTCAGCTGCTTTTCTGTTAATGAAACTAACAACAGGTGCACTAGAGGGGCAACAATGAGACGACCCCCAAAACAGGAATGGTTTAACAGGTGGAAGCCACTAACATTTTCCCCTCTGCTTCTTTTCTCACTGTTTTTTCACTAGTTTTGCATTTGGCTACGGTCAGTGTTACTATTGGTAGCATGAGGCGATACTTGGACCCTACAGAGGTTGCACAGGTAGTCGAACTCCTCCAGGATGGCGCATCAATACGTGCCATTGCCAGAAGGTTTGCTGTGTCTCCCAGCACAGTCTCAAGAGCATGAAAGAGATTCCAGGAGAATACTCTAGGAGAGCTGGACAGGGCCATAGAAGGTCCTTAACCCAGGAACAGGATGAGCACTGCCAGGCCCCCCTGCACCGTGGAGCTCAATTCACATTTGCCATAGAATACCAGAATTGGCAGGTTCACTACTGGCGCCCTGTGCTTTTCACAGATGAGAGCAGGTTCACTCTGAGCACATGTGACAGACATGAAAGGGTCTGGAGAAGCCATGGAAAATGTTATGCTGTTTGCAACATGGTTCAGCATGACCAGTTTGGTGGTGGGTCAGTGATGGTCTGGGGAGGCATATCCATGGAGGGATGCACAGACCTCTACAGGCTAACAATGTGCAAATGATGGCTGCATATGTTCCCTTGCAAATAACCATGGTTAAGAGAGGAAGAACAATGATTTCAAGCACCACCCTTCTTTTAAAGTATGCACTCTGCTATTCTAACTCAATCAGCATGACAGAGTGATCTCCTCATCAGCACTCTCACCTGAAATGATGTCAGCAGGTCCTTTTGTGGTAGGACTGAAATGCAGAGGGTTTTTTTGGGATTAAGTTCATTTTCATGGCAATTTTGCAATTCATCGGATCACTCTTCATAACATTTTGGAGTACCGGTATATGCAAATTGCATAAAAAACTGAGGCAGCAGACTTTCTGAAAACTAATATTTGCGTTATTCTCAAAACTTCTAGTCATGACTTTATATGCATTTAGTATATAATATAAAATTTTTGCAGTTTCATGTTAACTATGATTACTACCCAAGTTAACAAAAATGCGGTTCTATGAGCACAGGGGATGCTAGATTTTTTTTTTTTTTTAGCAGAGCTGTCCGCTAGTCGGCACTAGTTAATCATTAATGGCTTACATCAGAGAAAGAGCAAGAATGTTAACAATGCTTAAAATATCAAAAAGCGATTCTCTGAGGAAATATATGAAAATGATAATACTTGCCACATAGGGTTATAACGTTACACAAAAATTCCGGTTCAGTACGTACCTCGGTTTTGAAGTCGCAGTTCTGTACGTTTGCGATAAAAGAAACAGAACATAAACTGCTTTTTTTCCTTTATTAAACAAAGTATGACTGTCTTTCTTAAATAAAGTCTCTGTCAATACTGCTGCAGTATGCTAGCCGACTATGTAGGAAGGCTAGCAACATCATCAAGGACCCCACCCACCCGGGTTACAAACTGTTTGTCCCCCTCCCATCGGGCAAAAGATTCAGGACCATCAAGTCACGAACAAACAGACTGAGGAACAGTTTTTTCCTGAGAGCAGTAGCCTCCGTCACACCCCTTCCCACTACAGAACACTGACCATTAAGTCACTTCCACACCTCTGTATTACTGCTGATATGCAGTTGTTCACTTTAAATCACATTGACTTTTACAAATATATTGTATTTTATTAATAGTTATTTTAGGTTTTATTCATATTTATACCATGTCTATGAGACTATTCTATATTAATGTGGTACCTTAATGTATACCTCTTTGCTGCTGAGCCGTGAGCTACCAAACAAATTTTGTTGTATTTCTGATACAGTGACAACAATAAAGTTTAAGTTTACTAAAAAAAACTAAAATTTCT